TTGGGCCCTGAACGGTGCTGATTTTACACTGTTTTCAATGGGGCTTGAATTTGTGGACTGGACCCTGGAGGCTGCCCGAGTGTAATGACGTCACGGACGGACAGTTCGAGCGTGGACGTACATGTACATGATCGATGGAACTGGGGGACTTGACTTTTTCCCAGAATGCCTTGGAAAACACACTGCAGCGTTCAATTAGCCTCATTTTGAGGCAAACACTGGTGTGTCCAGGGAAGCTAATAGATTCATCGACCCATAGATTATATAGCGCCGCGTAGCGCCGTACGCGGCGCTATACAATTTTTTTATAGGTAATAATAGCCCACACAGGCGCAGGCCCATCGAATCTTTGCGCGCACAGGCCCGAGGTCATGTGTGTTTTTGTAGAAAACACGTTGGATTTTTCAGACAAGTCTCACTTTCTCAGAGACCTTCAGACGTAGACGTCGCCTCCATGCCGTAGGTTTTGTGTTCTAGGGTGCACTGTCCGTATATATGGAACTGTGGGGTCCGACGTCCGCTGCGCTCCATCCCACGAGCAAAATCTCGTGCGTGTGTCGAGCAGAAACGGTCGGATTTTGACAGGGGCGGTACGTCGGACCCCATCAAGCCCATACCACACTCAGTTCTAGCATGTCTAGGGGTAGACACAGTTACCGTGTGTAGCGATTTGCATTGCAGTCCTCTGGTCCTGTTGAAGTTGTAGACCGAAGTAGCTCCGGGCCAGCGGACCGCCAGACCACCGAATTTCAACTCGGTTTTTATTATTATTGTCAACAGTGGGGCTGTCATGATTGATACATGTAGTAGGCCTATGTAGACCTAGCTTTCTAGGTTAGTCTTTGATGTTAGGCCTGTTACGCCCCAGCTGTAGCATAAGTCCCAACTATAGTTGGGACAGTTCCAATTGTAGTGCTGCAGTTGGGCTGGCCCAACAATTGTTGACCAATGTCTGTGGAAAATGTCTCAACATTATCCAAGCCAATGTGTCTCACACTTGACACAATTCATCAAAAATGTGGCACTTAGCCCTATGACCAGTGACATAACCTTGGTAAACAATATGACTTTGGCACATGCTGGGCACACAGGACCTCTCTGCTGTAGTTGGGCTGGCCCAACTGTAGCACTCTAGTTGGGACGGGCCCAACTATAGTTGGCACTGATGCTATAGTTGGGGCGTAACAGGCCTATTACTTTTTAAGAACATGTAGAAAGGTTTGTGAAATCTAAATCTGTCCTGTATATATTGACCATGTTGACAAGGCCCATGATTGAAGCATTTTGGAGCCTCCATGGTGGAAGTGCATGATGATGTAGCTAGGCCGGTTTAACAGTTAGCTTTTTTACCATGGCCAATTAAAATTAAATCCTTGTTTATCGTCACTGCCAGACCGGATTTTTTTGATACTTGATATTTCCAACCTTTCAACAAATTTCCAGCCCTTTTCAACCTTGCAGATGTGTCTGCACCATAAAAATGGTCTTTTGTGTGTTTCTTTGAATTCTGTAGTCTTGCCCTCGACCATGACCGATTGAGTCGGGCCCTCTGTTCCTTGCTCTATGGTCAGGCCATCTACGGTTGATCGCAGTGGTGACAAATCAGATACCATTCTGATTATGGAATACACAAGTATTAAAATACTGCACAAGAAAGGTACTTTTAGACAATCATAAAAGTCTGGAAAAAGAAACTTGAAATGTCAAATATTGAACATCCTACTGGCCCCAAAATTTAGCTTCGAGTGATGATAAACAAGGAATTAAGTTTAGCCGGCCTAATCATGCTAATTAATTCACTTTTTCTTCACATCGAATTTTATTGCAGATTTGCTGTTTTGATCAAAACTTGAAGTTGAAGCTAGCAACGGGATATCTTGTTAGTTTGAATTCAAATTTTGATCCACCGATACGACAATGTCCAGAAGAGGGGGCGGAGTTGGAGGACAAGGGAGGGTTCCTCTGAAACCCAGAGCTGGTTTCCAGCAGCCTGCCAAAGATCCAAACGCTGTGTCCTCAGCCTTACTGAAGCAGGCAATGCGCAGTGGGCAACTCAACCTGTCCAATCGGGAACTTACAACAGGTTAAAACACACATTAATAAGCATGTGCGTTTTAGCACAAGGACAAAAGGGAGAATGAAATGCCCCTATTTGCTTGAAAATATCACGGCACTAACCTCTCCCCCAGTTTGCTGTTGACGAATGCTTGGTCCCTTCTCCCCGAGATGCCCGTGTTGATCATCAGTTCAAAGATTTTCCAGAATTCTGCTCTGCAGCCTCACCCTGCACAAACGACCTTATCGCAGCAAAAACCTTTTGTTAATGACATCAGTTGTCAGTATAGGTGGATACCAACCAGTGGTCAGGTTTGTCAATATGCTAAATCGTGCCCCTTGTTCAAAGTATGCAACACCCTAAGGCTGTTTTTGAGATAGCCTGTAGCCTTTCTGAGGGGTGGGGCCACATTTTGGAGCTTTTGTAAACCAAAACATTGCCTCTCTAAATACATGTATAATTTTTCACACACAAATTGGGCTGGGGGGAGACATTGCCCCCTTGGGATCTACACCAAAACACAAGACTTATACTTTAACAATTTTCCCCTGTACTTTTTAAACTTATTTAGTCCCAAGCAGTGTTTGGCGGATTAACATCGACGTACCAGAGGAGGCCAAGACAGTCTCACTGGACAAGACGGAGGATGGTTGGTGGGAGCAGACCGACCTCGTCAAGCTCATCCTGGCTTGCAACAAGCTCCAGGAACTGTCCAACGACATACAGCAACTGCCGGCGCTCACTGTGCTGGATGTAAGTCACTGGATGCAGCCAAATTACCTGGCTACGGCTAGGTATGACACCATTGCCTATTCAAGGTGTCAGTTCATGGCTTACTGCATTTGCCACTGACGCCTGTATTATTTGGAGCCGTAGCCATGCGACTTGGACGCAGCCATTCTTACTGCAAGGGAAAAGGAACTGGTTGGGTTACTCGTGCGTTTCATCTAAGCATAGCTGATATCAATATATCAGTTCATTGCCATGTTTATTGTTCTGTTGCATTTTGGAGACGGCAGACGCTGCAATGTGTACATTGAGGCTTTCTTTGAGAAGACAAGAGAAGTGCGTTAATATTGAAAAGCACATACACGTGTTGCAGTTTGAAACTTACCGTTCTTTTCATAATTGTTTTTTTGTTTATTGTTGGACAGGTGCATGATAACGTATTAACCTCACTCCCGCCAGCAATCGGGGAGTTGCTTAACCTGCAGAGGTTAAATGTCAGGTAAGCGACATCTCTGGCAATATCACGTCTGTACAGTGGAATATTCATCTGGGGTTCCCTTCTCTTAAAACGGGACCTTTCTTTATTGCCTTGTTCCCCTCCCCCGGCCCCAGGGGAGAAAATTTTACAACTGATTAGGTTTTGTCCAGGTTAAACAAAGAATAATTAAATTGATTGCATGAATTTGTTCACAGTCACAACAAGCTGACAAGCCTTCCGCCGGAGTTGTTCCAGCTTCGTCATTTGCTGTTGTTCCACCTCGAGCACAACGACCTGACTGAGTTACCCGAAGGCATTGGAGAGTTCATTCACCTCGAAGAACTGGTAAAACATGTCAAGTCCCTGCCTCCTATATATATATGCACGCACGAATGATTTTGTCTGGTAGTCTGGTTGTGCCAACAGGCAAAATAATCACCCAAGTATCTTTGCCTTTTGTGGGTTCCCTTAAGAAGTTAAATTCTAATGTTTTCCAAAGCAGAAAACTGTTTGCTTTTAATTCAACAAAGATGCTCCAATCTCCTAAGTTTAGTTTCTTGAAAGTGGTGTTTCTTGAAGCAAGACGAAGTAAGTTTTGTCAGATTGAAGTGGTGCTTCTGAAATGTTTTGTTACAGAATCTCTCTCACAACAAACTGACCACCCTGCCTTACACAGTTGGACATCTGGCCAAGCTGAAAACTCTGAATATCTCGAACAACCAGATCACGTCCCTGCCGTCTTCCATGGGTATGCTCAAAGGTCAGTACGTTACTTTCAACTTTTTGTAAGAGGACGAATTATGCTTCACATTTCTTTGCAAGAGCAGTTGCTTAAATAGTGCATTCGTCGTGAAATTAAATGCAATTATCGTGAAAACCTCAATTATATATGTAAAATTGAGGCTTTTACGATGATTGCATTGATTTTATTCGTCCCTCGTTGGACCTTTACAGCTGTGAGGATTTTGGAGGCTTCCAACAACAAACTGCCAGAGATCCCGACAGAGGTTGGCGACATGAAGTCGCTGGAGCAGCTGTTCCTGCAGCATAATGTACTTTCCGGCCTGCCCCTTCTTCGGGCGTGCATCAGCCTCAAGGTAAGCCGTCGTCTGCAGGCCTCATCTTGTTTGGAGTCTCAAGACCCGCATGCCTGAGTTCCAGTCCCAGGCTTTCTAACATTAAGTCCCCGTCTAATTGAATTTGCCAAGTCTCGGCTTGATCAGAATGAGCGCCCAGTTGGGGAGTTCATTGTTAGACAAAAACTCGTGCTTGCTCGAGGAGCGTCAAACTTTATGCTGCTGGTCCAAAGTTGGAAGAATTTTCGTTAAAGTTTATGTTATTGACCTTCAATTAGTTCCACTGTCAGAGATGAAGCCCAACCCTGAGACAATTTGGAAAACCTCTTATATCCTCTGTTTTGTTGGTCTAACCTGCGTTTAAGCAAAGCGTAAGATCGTATTAGTTCTTGTGGTAAATTCCTTCATTGTTGATAAGATGCTTCTTGAAAAGAGTTTATTTATTTTGAAATATCAGGCTGGCAAAATTCATGACCAGCAAGTCACGCTGACTGTTCTTTCTACTGAATTCTCAAGAGCCCCGGAAGATGCTTTCATTTATACATTTCCTATATGAGTAATGTATGAACAACTGCTGGGAAAATGCTCCCTGGTCTAGTCATTGGCAACACAAGTCACTCGGCTACGTGCTTTGTACCTGATTGTCACAGGAGCTGCATGCAGGCTACAATCGCATCACGGTCTTGTCCCCCGACCACCTGGAGCACCTGGCTACCGTCAACGTGCTGTCTATGAGAGACAACAAGCTGACGCATATTCCGGAAGAGATGGTCAACTTGAGGAGTTTGCAGCGATTGGATCTCACCAACAATGACCTATCGACGTGAGATTTTTTGGACAGACTTTTCTCATCTGTTGGGTTTGAACTTTTTGTATTTAATCCTTTTTTCTCATCAGGACTCTGTGTATTTTTCACCAGTTTTGCTTTTAGTGAGAAGTTTTCAATCTCTTTAAATGCACAGCCTGCCCTACAAGCTTGGTACCCTGACTTCTCTGAAGTCTCTGGTCTTGGATGGAAATCCCATGCGTGGAATACGGAGGGACATCATTAGTGTGAGTAATTTTCCTGTTTGTTTTTTATGATAGCACTAACTTTTTGACAAGCTGTTGCCATCTGTCTCGGGCAAGCTTGCTTGCCCGGACCCATGAAATTCCCGGTGACTTAAACATCACAGGCTATGTCTTGAGACCACCATTGACGAGGTCTTCCAGTCGTGTGCGTTCTCAGTCCACAGCAGATGGGCTTGAGGGGAGTGCGGAAGCTGCTGGGCGTGGTTGAACCAGTGAAGTTGATAGTGTGTTGCTAAGGATGGCACCATCCGCCTTCATACTAACCAACTGTATCCCCCTTGCCCTTGCTAACCCTATCTGTATCGAGCAGAAGCACCTCCTCATTGGTCAAAAAGAACTGCGTTGTAGGGAGTGTTCTTTTTGTTGATAGCGATGTTACTGCGACGCTTGCATGTCCTAGTCATTCGTGAACCAGCGACGCACAGTTAGTACTGAAGAAGCCTCTGTTGCTAAGGAAATAGCGCCCTCGAGGCCCATTGACTGTAGAAAATTGAAACGGGTGTAAACAAGTCTACGACTGTTGTTTTGTGGGTGTCAACAGCAGCAGAACTGCCAATGACCCCATGTCATTATTGGCCAGTGGTTTCAGCCCGCAAGGAAGTCGTGTGTAAGGTACCAAGGCGCCCTCGTGTGTCTTCGCACAAAGCTGTATACTACTATCACCATCTGACCTCAAACCTGTTGCAGAGTGACATTTGTCCGATTCACTTGCAATGAGCCAGTGGTGTCATTTTTTTGCTTGTGGCAGCGAGGCACCCAGGGTATTCTCAAGTTCCTCCGGAGCCGCATCGAGGAGGATCCGTCGTCAAAGGACGCCGCCGACAGCCCGTCGGCATCGGATCCGTCCAGCGCCGTCGGAGCAGTTGCTGCGGTAACCAGCAAGACCCTGGACTACAGGTAGGCATCTGTGTGTGTCGGTGCTTTCCCTGTGGAATTTGTTCTCAATGGATACTAAGACCAAGTCTAGTTTCCGTATCGACGTAAAGAGATGCAGAGAGCGTCGCTGATCAGTTTCCGACGATACGCAATCATATGAAAACCCTTTATCACAACTGATGCAAACAGCAATGGCGACGGTTGGCAAAGTTGAACTTTTGCCGGCTGTCAACGTTGAGGAAGCAAGACTTACCAAGGTGCTACTCAGCTCATAAACTTGCTAAATGTGTTTCCTGTTTAGAAACTCTGTACTTAACTCGCAGTACTCAAACAGTGACTATTGCTTGTCACTGGTTCTTAGCTTATTTTTATTTAGTGCCTAAATTTACCAAGTGTTTTTCCTGCTTGCCAATCTTAGTTAGGCTGAACAACTGGGCAACAAATCCTGTATTTATTCCACTGCCCACTGCCAAATACTCACTGTCAAATAACATGAGTATTTCTTCACTGTTTATGCCAGCAACAAGAAAGCAACCGAAGTACCAGTGACCCTGTGGGAACCAGCTCGGGAGGCTGGAGTCACCAATGTCAACTTCAGCAAGAATGTTTTCGCAGAAGTGCCCATGAAGTAAGTGAAAATCCCTAGGGAAATTTAGGAACATGAAATGTTTCTAAAACACCTTGGTGGGGCAAATTTTCAAACATTGGTTCATTCCGCAAGAAAACTTTGTCTTCTTGGATATATCCTACTCTTGAGATTTCCCGCATCCATGGTCCACTGTCATGTGGCATGAAATACGGTTTATTATTTTTCGTCAAAATGTGCACAAACTAGCTAAACCTTCATGTAAGCACATGGTGAAAATAGTATTTAACCGTGTGCTACAATATACAAACCATGTGTTTCTTGTGTTTGTCCATGTGTGGTGCAGTGTCCTCCTCCTTGCTAAGACTGTGACAGAGTTGAATCTTGGCTTCAACAAGTTGGCATCAATGCCTGTGGAGCTCCAAATGATGGTGAACCTGACCCATCTAGACCTCAGGTCAGACTCTTTCAATTTTGATGTAAACAGTATATACAGAGATACTTGGAGAAAGAAAGCCAGTGTTTGACAGTTGGAGGCCTTGCTATCACTATGCCCTCGGCGGATGCATCCCTAAGTAAACGTCATGAATAAGAAATGAAGGCTCAATCCGTCTCAAGTAGAAGCATCCCCTCATTGGTTGAAAAAGTCGTATTGTTCCATAGTGTTCATTTTGTTGGTAATGATGCGACCCTAATGCGTGCATTTCATAGTCGTTCCTGAACCAGCGAAGTCCAGTTCCAACCAAAGGAGCTTCCATTGCTAAAAAAATGCACCCTCTCTTGGTCCAGCTCGAGGCTAATAAATCGCTGTAGAATTTTACAACATTGATGGATTAAGGCAGTGTTGATGGATGTTGTTTCTATTACCCACACGACCTGATTATTTTTTACTCTAGGTTATTTGCCACAATCCTTTAAAACGTTCGTAATTGAGTGCATGGCAATCAGTAAGTAGGCTGAACATGTACCAACTGGCTAAAGTAGACCAGGCTTCATGGGCACTGAAGGTAGAACACCTAAACGCTAAACTTTAGGAACGTCATTACAACGACGTAACAATGCCATTGTATTAAGAGAAATATAGACAGCTTGGGTATACGGAAAAGTAGCTGGATATTTTTCTCAGTTGAAAAGTGTACATGTTTTATTTATTCTTCTGTCTAATGAAATGTTTTAGGAACAATGCTATCAGCACCCTTCCCTCCGAGTGGAGCACCTTGGTCAAGCTGCGAGAGATCTGCCTGGCCTGCAACCGGCTCAAGGAGGTACCGGCCGTGGTCTACCAGTGGGCTGACCTTGAGAACCTCCTGGTGGCAGACAATCAGATTGGGGCAATCGACGTGGCCAGCCTGCTCAGGCTGCCCAAGATAGCCAGCCTGGACCTGCAGAACAACGACATCATGCAGGTCCCACCGGAGCTGGGCAACGTCCAAACTCTGAGGTGAGAATTATAAGGGGGTGGCAGCTAGTCGTGCTGGCAAAGTTTCCCCTGTGGTTAGACTTGTGCCGTTACTTCAGCATCCCATGAGGTGCTGTTCGTCCAAACAAGCATCCCGTTCTGAACAGAGTGAAACTGTACAAGACGTCTTGCTTTGGGGAAAATTTTTATTCTGTTGGACAGTCGACATAGAATGAAATGGATCACTGTCTGTGGCTGGGTGGCCACACCCCCTCTTGGGGTGGGCGTGCCCTTGTGGCATCCTGTGCTTCTACAGTTACTTTCAGGGCCCTTATAGTGTCATTTTCTAATCCTTGAATGCCATGGCAACAGCCCCTGAGGCATCTTCAAAACTCCGGGTCACGCTTCTTTTCCACGTTCTTTATTTCCCCCGTTTGTATCCAGGTCCCTCCAGGTCGGAGGCAATCCTTTCCGGAATCCTAGGCCGGCCATTTTGGCCAAGGGCACGCCGGCCCTTTTAGCTTACCTGAGAGACAGAATCCCGACATGAGGCTCACCAGGATTTATTGGCATCACATTTCTACTACTTGTTGGCTTAATAGTCTCATTTAAGACATTTTCTGTGATAGGCATGGCAAATGAGTGTATAGACCCCTGCACCGATGACGTCGCACGTTGATTCACGTGTGCACGTCGTCACAGTTTTCACGAAGAGACAATTTCCTCATTGGATTGCAAAACATAGGTTTTGAGAAAATCGCATTTGAAGTTGGTCTCTTTTTCAAACGCCTAATTTCATAGAATTTAGTCTTCCTTTAAATTCACCAATGCTACACCATGAAAGAGTGGATGTTACATGACACAAAACTACAAAACAAAACTAATATTTTTAGAAGTTTATTAAAGTTGTTTATTTTGTTAACAAACAAGATTGTCTGTTTGTGAAATACCAAAATTCGTGTGACTTTTGGTCTCTTCGTGAAAGCAGCACACAGAGTACACGCTTTTGCTATAGCGCGTGTGCCAGGTGCAACATTGTTACATTTGTATACATTTCTGGAGTCAAATTGTCTCTTCATGAAAACCAAAAAACCAGTTTTGCCCATGGTTTGATCTTTTTGTCAACGTTATATCTATGGAAGACAAAATTGTCTCTTTGTGAAAACCAAAAAATGGGTTTTGTTGAATATTACACCACATGGATCACCGTGATTTGGGTGATTTGAGTAGATTTGGTTAGAAATGATTACATCAAGTTGTAGGCATTACATAGCCTTGTTGATTTTGCCAAAAAACAAAAACTTGAAAAAAATCATGATTTGGGGTCAAATTGTCTCTTCGTGAAAACTGTGTCGATATGACAATGCACATGTAAACGAAGTGTGCTCTTATCATTGAAGGTGCCCAGTTTAGGGAAGCATTTTGTCGTCCGACTTAGCCCTGCTGGTAAACTAAATCAGTTGCTGTAATGGAAGAAAGTCCCTTTTTTTCACTATGTCAGGTTGACATTAATTCAGATTGATTACAGATAGTGTCATGAAAAATTTGACCTGAACTTGCTGTCAATGGATCATAACATTGATGTTTGGAAGACTGAGGATTCCGTCTCTGGACAAGTCATTCAGAAACCAGACACGCCATAAAAAATGTAGTTGAGGTGCGAGGCACAGACACAACCCCTATACCCTCCGTCATACATCCAGATGCATGATAAATCTCGCGGTAAAATCTTGATAACTTGAACCTCCAGGGAAGGGATGAAAACTTCGAGCTGACGAGAAGTCCTTTACATTCAAGTCATGCTTACATGTTTATGACATGCTGGTCAAAACGTGATCCACCGCTGAGGTGTCCTGTTTCTAGATAACATCAGCATTTGGCACATTGATGGCAGATTTCCCGCTATAAATCTGAAACACGTTTGCTGAACTGAGAATGAAAGGACGCATTAATTAAAGGTCCATCAAAGGTAACTGAATTTACAGGGGTGAACGTCACAAAGACAGTAACACTCACTCCCAATCTCTCATGGTTTTTCTGTCGTAAAAAATGTCAAGGCAAGGACACTGTACTTATTTTTGCAGTACGTATTTTTTACATGTTCGTCTTTCTGACAAACTCAAATTGATGTGTTAAAAGGGGCCAGTAAAGGGGCACCCTTTAACATTTGAGAAATTGTAATAAAACGTTTGTGCCGTGATCTTTGTTTCTTAGCTGTGTAAACAAATTGCAGGCAGAATAAAAGAGATATAAACTTATGTAAAGTTGTGTATGAAATCTTTGATTTAATCAACAAATTTGCCAGCTGTGGTTTTGCTGTTATATTCTAGACAAAAATGTTTTGAGCTTTGTTTCTTTGAAGAATTGTCAGTAAACTTTTAGAGACGGAATTAACCTTTTAGACTTCATTAATGAAACTTGGGGCGGTAGGTTAATTGCAAAACGAACACGTGGTTGTTGGTTTGTATGTGAAGAAATGAACACCCAGGTCCCCTGGTCACTGCGGTAGTCGCAAAAGAATGTCACGTGGACTGACGTGCGTCGTATTGGACTTTATTCTATCAGTTCTTCTGCAATTCAATTTTCAACTTCCCATGTCATGTCTTTTCAACGTGTTTTTGATAGAATAAATTATAATCTTAGGGATATGCATATGACGCCTGTGGTTCTACCTGACTTCCTTTTCCGACTTCCAGTTGCTATCCCCAAATTTTTCACAATCTGCTAGTTGTATAGTTCATTTTAATACCAGTTTTTGCCCTTTACCAATGCATCTACATGTTTGCCTAATGCGTTCTACAAGCTTGTGAGCAGATGTCCCTGGCCTTGTCAGGTGGGATTCAAACCAATGACCACCTCCTCGCCAGTGCTGGTGTGTCACCACCGGATCACCCTGTTTGCTGTGGTCAGCTAGTCGATTCAAATCCAATATATTGCTAAGACCTTTTAGATGACGAGTCTACTGCAGCCTGTACTGATGGTCGTGTGTAACATTGCGTAAAGAATTCAGCCCAGTCAACTTTGCGGTTCAGCTTTGACAACTTGGTCAGGTTGGTTTTTAATACTTAAATTTGGCACGTGGACGAAAGCATGATGAAAACAAATAGTGGGCCTATGTGAACAAACCTGACAAGGTGAAGTGAGATTCAGCTAACGACACTGGGAATTATGCCCAACTTAAAAATGTCAGAGCTTGCTTGGTAAAATATTAGCACCAATGTTAGCACCAGTACTAAATGGGAAATATTTTCATCAGAAATGCTGCTTTGTTTTCAGCTTTATTATAATAGACAACATGTATGGTTGCTGTCCAAAAAGCATCACGTCTCGGTTGCAAAGTACGATGGGAACAATCTGTGGCACTCCAGGAAGCAGGTTCAGCTACAGTTGAGACCAATCGCATGATCCGAATCGAATTTGTCTGCAAGGATATCAGTGGGTGGTGGAGAATTTTCATCAAGGTGCGTACGACTGCAGATGGTGAAAACTGCACACAAGGTGAGTACATTGTAAGTAAGGGAGATTTTTTATTGGGTATTAGTTTTCTGCCATTTTTTTGACATTATAGGTATAAAATCTACACCAGTTCTGCGGAAGAAGCCTTTCTGGAGAGTAGATGACAGCTCTATTGCTCTGAAGGACATAATGCAGCTCTTCAGTTAGTCTTGGTTCCAAAACCTTACGTTTATTCAGCAACACAAACCATCACACAACAAATCGCTATCAGCTAAACAAAAT